GTGTCATATAACTCTTACGTAATTCTGTTGATGTAAACTGAACTAAAGCAGCCAATAATAATTTTGCAGCAATATTAACTATCCAATCAAAATGCTTTGAGAATCAAATCTAACTATTTTGAGTTGTAAACTAACTATGACTTCGGATTTCATTCTGAACATTACGCACTTTCCAGGCTTTGGCCTAGCTAGAATGTTGTCTGTCTGCTGCTGCTTTCTTGCTACAGAGTTATCAAAAATGTAAGCCTTTTGGAACAGGCACATTTAATGTGATTGTTATCACAGAATATCACAAAATAAAACCTTTACATAATCATTACTTATAATTAAATGTAACGCACATAAATATTTATGATACTAATTTTCATACTGATAAATTATATTTTAACACCAAAAATATAATAGAAGTAATAGTTTCAGAAATTATGGTTTCACCGTTATTATCTTTCATATGCCATTCCTGATTTTACCAAACTCAGCGTTGGCCTAGCTAGACTGTTATCTATCTGCTGCTGCTTTCTTGCTACAAAGTTATAAAAAATGTAAGCCTTTTGGAACAAGCACATTTAATGTGCCGACTTGTGTGTAGCCGCAACATGTTGCTGAAAATAAAATTGAAGATTTAATCTGCCTTTCTCTCCAATTTCCTGGTCATTGCTTCTGAGTTTGAATATATTACATGTACATATATGTTACCGTGAAAGTCCGAAATTGAAGAATGTCGACTTTCACCGGAGAATGTCAACATTCACCAAATACGTCGGTGAAAATTCGAATATCTCACTACATTCTTGTATATTCGGACCCTCACCGGTGTATGTCGACAATCACAGATATGCTCTAGTGAAAGTCGGAAAGAGAGGTCATAAAGTATCATAATAGTTTAAATTGTTGCAATAAATAAGATTTGAATCACATAATTTAGTAAGTTTTTAACTTCTATTATTTTCTTTTCTCATTTTGAATGTACCGTGGGTTTTAAGTTCTTATATTCTTAAGTTCTTATTTTAACTCTTAAGTGCGTTTTTTCGTGACTGAATTACGGAGAAGAAAATATAATATTGTTATATGTTCAACATTCACCATTAGTACATGGTGAATGTCGACTTTGACTGGCGTAAGTCAGAAATAAGAGTATTTTTAAAGTATTTCGGACATCACCAAGAGACTATGTGAATGTTGACATTCACCGGTGAAAGTCGACATTCTCCAGATTTCGGTGTTTCACCGTAACATATATATGTAATAATATATATAAAGGAATTTTAAAAGTTAAGATTAAAATACCTAGTAAAAGCCGAGGGAATATTTGAACTCTACCTATCTCTGTTTCCGAATTACATCGCAAAAGAAAAATTTTAATAAGCAAAATTTTAACAATTAACATCAGAACAGAAATTGCTAAATACATAAACATTTGCGATATATGTATACGTTTGGATCTGCCATTTGCAATAAAAAAGGAAGATGCAAACTAGATCTTATAGTATACATAAGTCCGTACATAGGCATACATACGTAGACATACGTACATAGACGTGCATACATACATACATACGTACATACATACGTACATAGACGTGCATACGTACATACATACGTACATACGTATCGCATGTATATATGTACGTATGTATGTACGTAACGTACATACATACGTACATATATACATGCGATACGTACGTATAAACATCATGAAGAAGACAATTTTTAATCCACTTTAAATCCGTTTTGTACAAACCAGTCTTTTATTCTGAACGTACGTACGGATGTCACATAAAAAAATCTCCCGATAGATATTTCTGTTCAAATACCATACCCGGAATTTTTTGCGATTACAATATTTGCTTTACTTCGAATAAGGAAGTATGAAAAGTTTATTTTATTTTAACTTTTTTTTTTTTCGACTTTGTTGTTATTTTGAGACTAAGCTATAATTCACTATCACTCTATTAGAATCTACAGGACTTTGACACAAATTTCTAGACACCAAATATTAACACATATAATAACTAAACCTACATATTAATTAATACACGTGGCTTATTGAAAAAATTATGCTGCTGAAACAAAACTAAAATAACAATAAAAAAGCCATAAATTGCTGGAGTTATCCGGCAGAAGACCTTAGAGCTGCGTTCTTGTTTGCTGACGAAACAACTGATGTCTCTTGATATACGTACATACATACGTACATACATACGTACATATATACATGCGATACGTACGTATAAACATCATGAAGAAGACAATTTTGAATCCACTTTAAATTCGTTTTGTAAAAACAAGTATTTTATTCTGAACGTACGTACGGATGTCACATAAAAAAATCTCCCGCTAGATATTTCTGCTCAAATACCATACCCGGAATTTTTTGCGATTACAATATTTGCTTTACTTCGAATAAGGAAGTATGAAGTTATTTTAACCTTTTTTTTAAGACTTTGTTGTTATTTTCAGACTAAGCGATAATTCGCTATGAATCTATTAGAATCTACCGGACTTTGACACAAATTTCTAGACACAACAACCACCACATATTAACACATATAATAATTATACCTACATATTAATTACAAATGGCTTATTGAAAAAAACTATGCTGCTGAAACAAAACTAAAATAGCAAAAAAAAGTCATAAATTGCTAGAGTTATCCGGCAGAAGAACTTAGAGCTGCGTTCTTGTTTGCTGATGAAACAACTGATGTCTCTTGATATCTCCCTTGCTCACAAAATAACTGATATCAGCTTAGATTTCTGTTGTCTTAATTAATCACTGACAGACGAACAAGGCGTCAGTTTACACCGATAACACGTCAGTTTTAATAAATAAATCGTATAAATTAGAACAAAATAATAATTTTAGAACTTGCTAAAACATCTACTCTGTAGTGTCCGGAAATTTCTGCCAATGATATTCAGAAAAGATGAATATGCGCTTTAACTTGTTAAATGTTACGTTTAAAGTACTCGTATATTTATTTCAAATTACAATTTGTTTTAAATTAAATACATAAATGCATGGAAGAAATATTGGCAATACAGAATATAACAGTAATCTAAAAATGCTATTTATACAGAACATATAAAAATACCATATGACTTCCTTGTACGGCCTATTCAATTATACACACTTTTGATGGACTTCGTTTAAACTTATTTCCTCGAATTTCATTAGAGATATGTATCAAGGTAAAAAAACGTAAAAATTCAAAACATCATCATTAAACATTGCAAAATGCAGAAAAACCAAAGCACCAAATACAGATAAAACAGGTAAAAAAGCAATTTTTATAATTAAAGTTCTGTTTAACTGTAAAAGTTATTACATGTTACAATTTACGTTACTGTAAAATTAAATTACATGCTCTAATTTTAATTATCAAAAATACAGCCCATTGGTTAGAGCAAGCAATTCGGCCAGCGGGCAGGAATACCAAATTTTCGGTGCACAGAATTGGAAGTCAACTTGTGGTCTCACTACGCAAAAAGCCACTGAAATAGGTGCACCAAATGACTTAATTCACTATTCTAATAAGAATTTCAAATGTAAACAAATGGCACCCTCGTTAGAACACTTAACACTTTTAAATTGTTGATAATTTTACAACTGTTGCATGCAGGTTAACTAAAGGCAAATAAAACCTAACAGGGACATAAGAATAACATAATTCAAATACTTTTAAGGGAAAATGCACAATTTATCAACATATAAGAATAAAAATTATAAGCTTTCCCAGCCGAGTAACAGGGTGTGAATAATCATTTATGTATATACGTTTGGTGCGGCTGATTGAAACGAAAAAGGGAGGCGCACAACTACATGTTATAACAGTTCCATATGATATGATATGAGGGACGCAGCCCGACCTTCCTGGCAGATTTTACGTCGCCCTATGGCTTTTTTACGGGCTGCGCCAGAGCAAGAGCAAGCAGTTCCATATACAAAAGTTCAACATTCTACGGTTCTCGCTTTCGAGTTAACAGAGATTCATACACTACAGGACAACGAAAATGCAACATTAAAAAATATTATTAAAATCACATAGAGCAACAATTATCAAATAATCATTTAAGTAGCGGTAATATTCAAATTACTATCCAATATTACAGGAATACGCATATATTCATACAGATTCTTTATTATTTGATTTCTTTAAATATGCGGTAATATTGGATAGCAATTTGACTATTACCGCATATTTAAAGAAATCAAATAATAAAGAATCTGTATGAATATATGTGTATTCCTTGCACTGTGAAAAACTACTACATTAAGTGATCAATGTATGAATAACGTAGTCCTCCACCCGAATATGGCACCTAGAAGCTCGAAACTTGAATGCCGAATTTGTTTATTATGTGTTTCATATTTTTAAGCTTTAAAATTTGTTTTATTGTGTGCTTCATATTTTTTATTAAGAAATTCAACGATTACAAGGTGACAATTGGCAACACACTGTACGGAATAAAATATTTTTATCTCCAGCGCATGAAACTGTCTATCAGAAATTCTAAAGATGTGTTGGTTTAAAAATTTTAGCTCCAAATGCTTTCGAAACGTGTAAACGTGTATGTATGTGCAAATGAAAAAAATGCCCTTTTGTCGTAATATAAAATCTGAAAGCTTTCAGAGTTTTTTACTTTCTTTATTTAATAATTGATTTATTCATTCTTTTTTCTAATAAAATAGCGGATCTTATATAATCGATTATCTAACAATTTTGAGAAATTCTATTTAAAATGCACTGCGCGTATACGAGCTTCATAGCTCAGTGGTCTTAAAGAGCCAACTGCTCAATATGTAACAATGTATTTGTTGTCAAGTGTTTCCTCTACTCAAATAGAAAATAATTGCACAAGAGAATGATTATTCACATGTTATCATTTATTCATGCAAAGCGAGTTCTCTCTTTCAAGGTCTTTTGAAAGATAGGCTACAAAATAAAAGATAAACTTGCTTTCCGAGGCAATGGGCATTCACACTATTCATTATTCAAATACGCGCTCATGAATCTTTTAGATCTGAAAATTGAGCCTCTTCCCAAGGCTCTCAAGAAAAGAGCAGAAGCGGAACTCGGGGAAACTCCGGAAGTAAAGGAAAGAGCATTAAAGGAGCTGAAAGACCTTATTAAGGGTTAGTGCAATTTTTTTTTTCCGATTTTGCAATTTTTTTTAATATCTTTCTCTCATTATTTTTACATTTAATTAAATTTTACTTATATTTTTCTCATTATTAATCCAAAGGGATTTGAATCCCGAAGGACTATTAGTTTCGTTTTGGCATTTTGCGTCGGACTCATAAATGTCGGTTCACTTTTCAAACTGTTGCCACAAAATGTTAGAGTCCTGCATTATATTTGAAGAAATTAAATAATGAAAAATCTGCATAAATGTATGTATATTTCTCGTATTGTGATAAAACAACGGTACATAGAGTCATCGAATTTTGAATAACGTAATCCTCCAACGAATATGAGCATGTGGAAGACCAAATTTGAAATTTGAAATTTGTTTTATGATCGATTTCCTATTTTTTAAAACTTTGACGAATTTTTGATTAACAAACTCTAGGATTTCAAAGCGAGCAATGGCAACGTTGTGCAGAAAAACATTTTTATCTCCAGCGCGTGAGTCTCTGTATCGGAAATTCTAAAGATATGCTCGTTTTAAAACTATTTTGCGATATTGCTGTTGCACTGGATCTTATGGTTTAAGTGCGAGGAACATGATATTTAATAAAGAAAGGTAACACACAAAATGTTAAAAAACGCCCCTTTGGACGTAATTTAAAATCTGAAACATTTCAGATTTTTTTTTATTTACATTTATTTATAAGTAAAATTATTTACATTATTTTATTTAATCTCATATGCTACAAATGAGTCTCTCATTGTTTACATATTTATTAGTCAAAGCGGCTTTCTCTGTGAGGGACTATTGTTTTCGTTCCGCGATTTTGCGTCGGATCACTCTGAATGCCCGTTTCACTTTTCAAACTGTTGCCACCAAATATTATTGCCCTACATTATATTTGAAAAAATTAAGTAAGTAAGGATCTGCATAAATGTATGTATATTTCTCGTATTGTGATAAAACAACGGTACCTAGAGCCATCCAATTTTGAATGACGTAAACCTCCTGCGAATATGGGCAACTGCAAGCCTAAATTTTAAATTTGGAATTTGCCTTATCATGGATTTCATATTTTGTAAAATTTTAACGAATTTTTGACTAACAAACTCGAAGATTTCAAAGCGAACAATGGCAACGTTGTACCAGAAAAACATTTTTATCTCCAGCGCGGAAGTCTCTGTATCGGAAATTCTAAAGATATGCTCATTTTAAAACTATTTTGCGATATTGCTGTTGAACGGAATTTTAATGGTTTACGTGCAAAGAACATGATATTTAATAAATAAAGGTATAATGTATTTCTCCCGCCCTCCTAGCGTGCCTTCGTGGTGTAGTGGTTCTACACGCTGGGCCGGTATTCCAGAGGTCCGTGGTTCAATTCCCGGTGAAGGCGGCTGCTAATTTCATCTCTCCTGCTTCCAAAAAAATACCTAATGTCTCTACAGTGGCGCCCGAACTAAAAGGGTTGTGGATGATGACTCTCCATACCCAGGATTTGGCGATTGGGTCCCCTAAAAACTCGAGTCGCCCTTTAAACGGGGGAGTATATAAGGTATTTCTCTCGCCTTCCTAGCGTGCCTTCGTGGTGTAGTGTTTCTGCACGTTAGGCCGGTATTCCAGAGGTCCATGGTTCGATTCCCGGCGAAGGCGGTTGCTAATTTTCTTCTCTCCTGCTTTCAAAAAAATACCTGTCTCTACGAAGGTATCACACAAAATGTTTATAAAACGCCTCTTTGGACGTAATTTAAAATCTCAAAACATTTCAGATTTTCTTTTCTTTCTTTTTCTATAGTTACTTTTAATTTCTTTCTCCTGTTATGTATATAAATTTACGGCTATTTTATTTTTACAACATTCTTATTAGTCCAAAATGGCTATTAGTTTCGAAATGTGATTTTGCGTCGAATCACTAAAAATGTCATTCATTTTTCAATCGAGTGTGTTGCCGCTAACAAAACGTAAGATATTTATTTATCTTTCAAATGGAATTTATGTGGTTTGGATTAAGAAACTAAGCTATCTGAAAGCTATAAATGGAGTTCTTAAAAATATAACCGTTACTTTTGAATCGTATTTTTTAGTAATAAAAATGCATTTCATTCATAATCTGTCTGATAAAAAATATTCAAAATTTTCGTAGAATGACGTTAATTTTGTAATTATTTATTTCGTATTATGTAAACTTTTAATGAATTTCTGATTAACAAATGGCAACGATTTGAAAGCGTGCAGTTGCAATGGTGTACGGAATGAAACATTTATAATATCTCCAACGGGGAGGACTATCTATCAGAATTTCTAAGAATTGTATGTTTTGTAAGCCATCCTACTAAGAAAACTGAAACTTGGTATCCTGAACTGAGAAAACACTGTAAAAAAAAAAGAACAAAAAAGTGCATGTCGTCACTCTATACTGTGTCGTGAATTCTAAACATATTCTGCTTTTAAAATTTTTAGCCCAAAGGACTACCTGTCTAAAAACGGCATTTTGCGTCGTTTCCCTTTCTCCCTTTCTGCTTTGATTCGCTTTTCCAACTGTTTCAACCAAATATTGCCGCCATATATTATATATAAACAAGTTAAGTAATGAAGAATCAGCATAAATGTTTCTCGCATTGTGAAAAAACATCGGTACCTAGAGCCATCCAGTTTTGAATAACGTAGTCTTCCAACCGAACATAGGACACTAGATAGAATTTTGATCTTCGACTTCGTTTTATTACCTATTTCAAATTTGTAAAACTTTAACGAAGTTTCGATTAACAAACTCAACGATTTCAGAGCGAACAATGGCAACACTGTACGAAAAAAAAAACTGAAAAGTTTCAGATTTTAAATTACGTTCAAAGAATCTTTTTTTTTTTTTAATGTTTTGTGTGTTACCTTTATTTATTAAATATCATGTTCTCTGCACTTAAACCATAAAACTCAGTTCAATAGCAATGTCGCAAAATAATTTTAAAATGAGCATATGTTTAGAATTTCAGATACACAGTTCCGTCCGCTGCAGGCCCACCAGCGGCTGAGCGGTAAAGTCGCTGAGCACTGGTAGTTCGGGCCGAGGTTCGAATCCCGCGAACGGGCTGGCTGGATGGGTGTTTTCGTGGTTTTTCCCACGCATAACGTGTATACGAGCCAGTTTCCCTTAAAAAGTCCTCCACGAAGGCATCACTCGTGTGCTTAGCCATAACTCAACACACCAACACCACCGTGCGCTGCAGATAAAAAGTTTTTTTTTTTTTTTTGGTTTGTTTGTTTTTCTTCCGTAGAGGGTTGCCATTGCTCGCTTTAAAATCCTTGAGTGTGTTAATCAAAATTCGTTAACGTTTTACAAAATAGGAAATCGATAACAAAACAAAACAAATTCCAAATTTCAAATTTGGTCTGACCATATGCCTATATTCGTAGGAGGATTACGTCATTCAAAATTCGATGGCTCTAGGTACTGTTGTTTTATCACAATGCGAGAAATAGACATACATTTATGCATATTTTTCATTATTTAGTTTCTTCAAGTATACTGCAGGACTCTAACATTTGGTGGCAACAATTTGAAAAGTGAAACGGACATTTACATTGATTCAACGCAAAATCGCAAAACGAAAACTTCCTTCAGGGGCAAAGCCCCTTTAGACTGAAAAAAAAAAATTATTACATTTAAACATTTATTTTAAACATTTAAAAAACATTTAAAATCGCCTTTTTTGGCGTAATATAAAATCTGAAAGTTTCAGATTTTCTTTCTTTTTTCTCTAATTCTGTTCTTGAAATGTACATAACGTAAGTGCGAATAGATCGATGCTTAATAATAAAGCTAAAATGACAGGAAAAATGGGTTAGTAGAAGTGAGAGTAACAGCAAACTGATAGTCTAAACAGCTTAACAATTTCTTTTGCGCAACCGTTAAAATCTGAATTAACATACAGCGTTTAAAACGGCTGAAATGGTACATGATAATACTATAGTTTTCAAATCTGTCGAGTATCTCTTCAAAATATGTATGTATTAATTCATTTTTTATTATTATTGTAAATTGTTAAAACTAAAATTCTGGAATTAATGTTTATGCGAAGGAACAAGTTTCAAAGCTTTGAGACGAAATGAGAAAAAAAAAAAAAACTTAATTTAGTAATTCAGGTACACAATATTGACTCATTAAAAATTACTATTAGTACGGCCACAAAAAGACAAACTCTTAGTACATTCATTAAAATTCAATAGGAAATTTAACTAAAAAACGAAGAAAATTTTTTTTTTAAAAAATTTAATTTTTAAAGCTAAAGTAACCTTTAATTTTTAAAATTGTATTTGTAGAGATTTTTGAAAACTTGAAAAAATATGCATCATTTTACTTTCTCAGCATTTTGTAAACAGTTTTCTCTGAAATTAAACTACATAAATTATTCATTTTTTTTTAATTCAACCTACCACCCGTTTCACTCATATCGTCATTTACCGAGTGGTAAAGACGCTGAACACTGGTAGTTCGATCCGAGGTTCGAATTCCGCGAACAGGTTGGCTGCATGGGCGTTTTCGTGGTTTTCCCCATGTGTAACGTGTATACGAGCCAGTTTCCCTTAGAAAGTCCTCCAAGAAAGGCATCCTTCCCTTAGGCAGATAGCTCTCGTGTGCTTTGCCATAATTAAATAATCCAATCCAATCCATATCGTCATTTAGTTGACATGACGCAAAGCATTCTTTTATGTTGCAGGAATCGAAAACAAACGGAAAGTATTTTTAAAAATAAGAGGGTTGCTAATTTTACTTGTTGTTGTTGTTGGCAACTATTGTTCCATATTACATGGAACAATAGTTGCCAGAGCCTACTCCGAAGAGAGGTTGGACTTTTCCGAAGCTGACGGGCCTGAATTTTTGACGTGCCATTCATGGGTCATCCGCCGTACAGCCCCGATTTGGCATTCAAATACTTCTTTTTATTCTTGCACATCAAAAATACATTAAGTGTTCGATTTCAACACCCAAACAAGCAGTTAATGTAT